AGCATCTGACATATTCATATTATTTTATTATTACATGTTATATTTTTAGTTAAAGATCAAAATTGATTTATATGTCATCAGATATTGTGGTCAAGCATTTATGGCAGTTTTGGTGTTAGTGCTACTTGCTGAAGGAGAAACATTCATGACTTGGTGGGCATTTCTAATTCATTGAGCAATAAGCCCATATTTTGGGATTTATGGTCATTTAGGAGCAATTTTATTTTCCTGTATTTGTGAAGGCAATGATTGCAGGCAAATACATAAAAGGTATTTTTGACTAGCATAAGGGAAAAAATATTTGACAAAATTAAATTACTCTAGGAATATTCATTAGCAAATAAAAATAAAGGGGCATTCATATGTAAGTTTTATGGAGAGGTTATTTTAAAATGGTTCTTATTTGTCTATTGTAGTGCATCCAGAAAGCCATATACTTGATAATACGTTATTAGTAATTGATAAGTTTGTGCTATTGTATCATCTCCATCAACTTTATTCCACCAACACCACCACTGGGCTGCACAAACCAGAAATGCAAGAGCCATCCTTGAATTCTTCCCTCTCAGGCCCCGATCCCATCTGTCACAATGGTTAGCCAGTTATCCCACATACCATAACTCCAGCCCTTTCTCTCCATCTTCAAACACTATCCTAATTCAGACCAAAATCACCTCTCACCTGGACTCTTGCAGTGACAGATTCCCTACAGCCATTCCTGTCTTCCTCCAAGGTGATCCACACTCATCTCACCACTCCTCTACAATAGATCATTGGTCCCAAATTACTTCTGCTCAGCTTTCCAGCCACATCACTCTTAGAGCTCACTGAACCCTGTCCTCTAGTCTGACTGCTCTCCCTTCCTTCTTCATCATGCTCTCCTATCTTGGCCCAGGATATTTGCACATCTTTATTTCTTCTTCCTGGACTATTCTTCCCTCAACTCTTCATCTGGCTTACCCATCTTTCAAATCTGAATTGAAGAATCACTTCATGAGGCACACTTCATCCAAATCCTCAAACAGAGTTATTGGTACCAATTATGGATTCCTACTATCCTATTTTTCCCACTTCATAATACACGCTCCATCTTTATTGGGTCTACAATGGTTCCTTCCCACTCTGGAGTGTAACTCCAAATAGATAAGGACATCTGTCTTTTCAACACAACACCCGTGTGCTTATAGAAAATGTTTGACATGGAGTGGGTGCCCACCATATACTTACTAAATAAATGAATGACTACTATAGTGAAGGTTAATAGCACATGGCTAGTAACGGCTTTTACTAGGCACTTATATACTTCATATTCAGAGATAACTTTGAATGACCATCTCTTAAGGGTGCTTACCTTTTGCCTTCTCATTGTATTTCTGGGATCATGGAGGATGCTCTCTAAAAATGGACCCTCCCTTGCACATCAATGTTCCAATGTTCACATCCCTAGACAGTTGTCAGCAAAGTCTTCCAGAAAGATGTTTTAGTGTTAGTGTTGATTCTGCTTTTCAATAAGGATCCACTTTAAGTATATATTGAAATCAGATTTCATAACTAGCAGGGTTATCTCTTTAATTACTACATTAGTTACAACTACCAGCAAGAGATATCCCAGAGATGTTACCACACCAAGAACATAAATGACCTTCTATCTTTTCTCCTTTTGATTACTGCTGGATCTTGACTATATTTTCTTCTTAACCTCCCGTTAATTCCCTTGAAATATATGCTCTCCATAGGCTTCATCTATGATAAATGGACCAAATTTATGTCCACTCAGTCTTTATAGATTAATGCTACTAAGCTTTGTTTGCTTTCCTGTCCATTCATTGCACCTCATTCATTAAAATTCGCCAGTCTTATTAATCACATGCCAGATGCTATGTATGTATTTGTCATTCTACAACAACCAAATGGAGAAGGTACTATTATTTTCATTTTTATAGAAGAGGAAACTAAGGTTTGGAGAGGGTAAGTGACTGCCCAAGTCACAAAGGTTACTAAGTGTTTGAACTGGAATTTGAACCCAAAGTAGGCCTCTGGTTCCTGGGCCATCATCATTGTTTTCAGTGGATGAAGTATTTGTGGTTTTGGTCTGTTTGCTGAATTTTAGTCTTTAGCCTAAACTGTAGTGAGCCTAGTAGGAGGAGCAGGCAGTGTAGAAGGCGCCCTGTGGATAACTAGGGTCAGAAGGAAAACCCTGTTTTGAGTGTTGTCTAGAGGAAGAGAAGTTTGTGTAAAAGATTTCCATTGTGAAGAAGAAGAAGAAGAAGAAGAAGAAGAAGAAGAAGAAGAAGAAGAAGAAGAAGAAGAAGAAGAAGAAGAAGAAGAAGAAGAAGGAGAAGAAGGAGAAGAAGGAGAAGAAGGAGAAGAAGGAGAAGAAGGAGAAGAAGGAGAAGAAGGAGAAGAAGGAGAAGAAGGAGAAGAAGGAGAAGAAGGAGAAGAAGGAGAAGAAGAAGAAGAAGAAGAAGAAGAAGAAGAAGAAGAAGAAGAAGAAGAAGAAGAAGAAGAAGAAGAAGAAGAAAGGAAAATTGGTTGTTTTTTTTTTCCCACCATTGGTATACATTTTGATTTCTGTAAGGCTCAACCCAAGTAATTACAGATAGGAGAGTTACCAATTTCAATTCTTTTTCCTGGGCCTGGGGAGTAGTGGGTGAGGGGTAGTGGTGGTGTGGTATCTTTGGATGGACTGCTATGAGCCTCACAGCCCAGTAAGAACTCTGGGCTGGAGATCGGAAGTTTATGGTGCTGTCTTACCTGCCTCTGAGGCAGAAACTCCCTCAATCTGTGAAGGCACAGACTCTCCCTTCCTGCTTGCCTTCCTGCCCTGGGGAGCTGTAGGCTCTCCCCACTTCCCTTCCAGCACTCTCTGCATTCCTCCCAGTTATCCCCTATGCTGCCCAGAGTGGAGCCTCTGATCTAGGCAACAACAAGAATGTCAAGTAGTAAATGGGTCTGTGCAGCTCCCACCAGGACTCTGAGGAGTCCTGGGTGCTGTGGAGACTGCGAACCAGCAAAGCCACTGGGTGATCTTGAGCAAGTAACTTAGCTTCAGCAGGCCATTTTCTAAATCCCTAACGGGGAAACTAAGGCTAATTGTGGGGATTAATTAATGGAGCACCCCTGACACTTAGTAGGCGCTCAGCCAATGGCAAAGATGGTCGGGAGGAGGAGGAGTTAGAAGTTAAGCGCTGGTGTCCAGAATGTAGGTTAAACCTAAGACGAAAAGGTATTCATTCACCCAAGGATGGGGGAGGGGGTGGCGGGAGCACCTGCCCGCCTCCCTGCTTCCAGGCACAACCCCGGGTGCCGGGAGGGCCATTCCTCCAGGCTCCTCCGGAAGATCAGGGTGCCCCGTCCCGGGGGTTCACCTCGGGGCGTCCATGGCACGTCCCTCCACCCGGGGCTGCGGACAGACTTCTTCCCTCGCCGGCCCCTGAGCGCGCTCCCCGCCTCCTCCTCGGGGTCTCCGCAGCCACGCTAGCCCGACCCAGCCCCAGGAGGAAAGGCAGAGGCAGCTTCGGGTGTGCAAGTCCCCCCGGAGCCCTGGGAAGGGAGGGAAGGCGAGCTGCGTTGCAGGACGCTGGAGATCGCGGTGCCCCGGCGGCCCCCAGCTCCTTCCCCATTGTGCCTGCCTTCTGGGGACCAGCCTGGCTTGGGGAACCCGAGAACCGCCGGTGTCCCCGCCGGCCCCCCTCCCTTTTCCGTCCCCCCCCCCCCCCCCGCCAGGGTTCCTGGGGCGGGAGTGGGCGGCGGCACTGCCCCTGGGTAGGAAGAGGCGGGCACCAGGGAGGGAGCCCCGAGGGGGCGTGGGGCCCGCGGGAGCCTCCCACTCTGCCACCTGCCCCCCTGGTGCCCTGTCGCTGCCCCAGCCTCCTCGCCCCTCGCCCCCACGTTAGGGCGCTGCCTCTTTCCATGTCTTAACACCCTCCCCCCAACAACCCCCTTCAAATCCCCCCCGTCCCTGCTAATAACCCCCACCGCAGAGTCAGGCTGCGAGCTGGAGAGGCAGCGCCGCCTGCCCTCCCCGCCTTCTGCTATAAATAACCGGGACCAGCGGGTCAGCACGTCACTCCCGGAGGCGCCGGGACCCCGAGGGTTTCTCCTGGGGAATCGGGGGCAGAGGGTGGGGAGCAGGATAAAGAAATCGCTCGTGAGTAGTGAAGAAAAGCCTGCTCCTGGACTCCTAGGGGGAAACATAGGCAGCAGCATTTTATTCCTCTCTTTCTCTGGCTTCCTTTTTTTTAAATTTTATTTTATTGTTCAGTGTCTTTTTTTTATTCTCTACTCGCCACCCCCCCACTCCCCTCCTCCCCGCCCTAAATCCAAAGGATTGCTCAACTCTCCTGCCATTGGTTTATTCTCTCCCTCCCCCTTCCACTCCTGCTCCCACCACCCTCCCCTCCCACTCCCCACCTCCACCGCCAATTGCCCCAGGCAGGGGATGCTGTTCGCCCAGGAAATAAAGTAAACTCCTCTCCCCGCATCTGCTTGATGAGCCCAGAAGTGGCCTCCCAAGAACCCGCTTTCCGCTCGCCCTCCTCTCCCGCTCTCCCCGACACGTCTAATCTGGGTTTGCATGTTGAAGAGGAGACACACACACACTCACCCTACAGCCCGCGAGGTGCAAAACTGCCTCCTGCAGCCGCCGCCGAAACTTACCGGCCGCTCTAGTGGTTTTTGTCTTAGCGGAAGGACAACAAAAGATTTTTTTTTACTCTGGGTCCCCTTAGGGGGTGATTTTTTTCATAGTATTCAACTATGTGTGTAGTATGCATATATATGTTTTTCCTGTTTCCCCTTTAATTTTAATTTTTATTATTTTCTTTTTTTTTTCTTAGCAAGAGAAATCCGCTAGGCTATCCCAGGCAGCGCCGCCGCTGCCCCTTTGAGGTTGTGGTCCGCCGTGCGCATGCGCCTCGCAGTGGCATTACTGCACCGGGCAGACTAAGTTGGATCTCCTCTCTCCAGCGAAGCCCTCGATCCCATCCAAAACTAAAGGGATGTGGAGAGCTCGGAAAAAGGGCTACTTTGGGATCTGGCCATTCCCCTTGCTAATCGCCGCTGTCTGTGCGCAGAGGTAAGTGTGCCTTAGGCTTCCGTTTTTGTTTTTGTTTTTTTCTTTTTCCTTTTTTCCCTTTCCCACTTTGAAGAGCTCTGCATACCTCGGTGAACCGGGAGGATCGGTAGGGAGGATCGGATAGATGCCGCCGAGGACGCGGGTGCCTGCTGCCTGATGCCCACTTATTGTCTTTTTTTCTTTTTCTTTAGTGTCAATGATCCTAGTAACATGTCCCTGGTTAAAGAGACGGTGGATAGACTCCTGAAAGGCTATGACATCCGCCTGAGACCCGATTTTGGAGGTAATGGGGTTGCCGTGGAAATAAGAAACAAACCCAGCTGTAGCCTCCTAAGCTAGCTGCTGTCTTTGGAGCTTTGTGCTGGCCATCTCTTCCCTCTTCTCCCTCATTGTGGTGAATGGAATGTGTCTCGGCATTACCATACGGAGACACTGACCCAAACTTAAACCGCTTGGTTACTGGCCAGCACTCAGATGGTCTTCCGGCGAGAGAGACCCTCCTGGCATGTACTGGTGCTTGCTGCCCTTGGGCGTCACAGTGATAAATCCTTTGCTTTACTGTCATCGCCTCGTTCAGTTACAAAGCTCAAATTGAGTTAACGGTGTGCCCCGAGAAGCTGGCTTAGTGAGGCTGCGGTGAGGGTTTTGGAGGACAAGAAGTGCAGACAATTGGTGGAGAAGTGGCATTCACCCCTTGTGCCCGCCTACTTTGAGAGAGTTCTGACCACGGTTTCAAGTGCCTGGTGTCTGGATACTCTCCAGTCCTGCAGGGGCAGTGCAATGGGAGGGTGGGGGGACTGGAGGAGCTTGGAGGGGAAGGGGGGGAGAAGGGCCAGAGACCTCTTTCCCTGCAGCCCGGGAAACCCTGATATGCCTGCTTAATTTTGCTTCGGAGTCTTAGGAAGCTCAGCGAGTTAAAACCTGCACACAAAAGCTGTGGGGGTGAATGAGGAGGAGGGTTCCAAGGCAATCTATAAAATTCCCTCGGGCTAGAATTTTGTGAGTTGTGTGTGTGCTCCTGCTGAGGCATCTATCTACATAGCTGGAGTCCCTCATCCCTCAGAACACGTGTGTGAACATTTAACAGAGCATTTCCTAGAGGAGCTTCTGCACCCGTTTAGATAAGAAGCAGGACTTGAGGAATTTGAGGGTGAGCTGCACGGGGAGGGACTTGGGCAGAGTGTCACAGGCCCAGGGGCAACTCTTGCTAAGAATGAATGAAGTTCTGAGCAGTCACGTGGCTGGCCCTCTTGGTTTGCAGGTCCCCCCGTGGCCGTGGGAATGAATATTGACATTGCCAGCATCGATATGGTTTCTGAAGTCAATATGGTGAGTACTGAGGTTTATGACCGTGTCTCCTCAGACATTCCTTGAAGATAGGGAGGAGAAGGGAGCCAGGGTGTATGTGGCCATGTGTATGCAATCGAGGCAAAGGTGGGGATTTTGCTTTGTGTTTATAGTTTCAGAGTTAGCTCTTTCTGATCCCTACAGATTTCCCCCCCACTTGGTTCATCTACTTGGGACTTGGCATAAAGCAAGTAAAATGCATCACACATTCACATGCAGAACGCAGCCACATTCAGGAGCCCCCCTGCAGAAGCCCCATTTCCTAAGGTCCCATTGGAAACCAGGCTCATCACATACATTTCTGGGTTTGGGGTGGGGTTAGCGGAAGAGGGGAAGATTTTGATTTAACGTGTAAAAGAGAATATTACCTACAAATTAAACTGTTGCGAAGAGGCTGGATAAATCCCCCATTCACGTCCACCTGTTGCTTTCAGAGATGGCCTCTTTACTACTGAGGGCAAGACTCCCCCTCCAGTTCCTTTAAGCCTCCCAATCACCAAAATAAACAGAATAAAAATTGGTCACAGGTGTTTTCAAAAGGCAAAGTCAGACCCATGTGTCATCTCCAGTCATTTCTGCAGTGTTATTCACCGTATGTCCTAAGCTTGTACAATTTATTGATAGCAGCACTCTTGTGTGGCGGCTTCGGACCTGGGCAAGTGCTAAAGGAAGAAGGCTGGGTGTTCCAGACTAGGAAACACTTGTGGGGGTTAGCCTCACGCAGGCCCGCCCCCTGCTGCCCATGTTGGGGCACTGCAGATACACAACAGGGACAAGTGTCCCAGATACCCCCATTTCCTTTGGAGTTTTCTACTCTGTGTTTTGAAGTTTTCGCCTTCAAAAGTTCCTCCAGGAAGGGCACATGTGAGTGTCAGATTGCAGTCTTACTTTCAATTCTGATAGCACAAAGCACGTTTCTCAGAAGATTGTGTGGTGGCCGGGTTCAGCCTAGAAATGGAATGCACTGTTGAAGAGAATGTTGCACCTAGGGTTTAATGCAGACACCTCTAAGCCAGCCAGCAGGATTTGAAATTTAGAGCACATATCAAGTAGATCCAAAGTACTCTGTAGTGGCCATGCTTTCCACATTACACTAATTTTCATAGCCCCAGAGTTCAAATAAAGAGGAAACTCGAATAGCCACCCTCATTCCCCTGTACACTGTCCAAAGATAGGTGATAATCCTGAGGTATTAAAAGATTCTGAAGCATTTTTATGACTGCTGGAGGGCATAGTCACCTCCAGCGTGTCCCCAAGGATGTATACACACACTGAAAAATTATAAAGGCAGTGTTTATGAAAATGCATTTCCTTTTCAAAACTGACACATTCTGAATTTCAGAAATGTCTTAAGGACATGCCTCTTCTTATTTTGTAATTATTTGGCAAGCTTTGACCCTGTAGGACATAAACACAGACTAAAGGCAATCTTGAATGATTCAGAAACTCAGATTTCCCACACATTTTGTAAGTTTCATGGGTAGAGAATGCTTGTTTCTTAGGATTTTAGAGGTATTTCATCAATGTGTATATTTTGAGATTTACCATAAAAAATTAAAAATGTCCTAATGTTGGTACTTCCTTAATCCCACATTCTTGAATCTAAGTGGTGTTGCTAAAACAAAGTAATATAGAAAATAAGTGTGGTTCATAGTGACTGAATTAGAGTCCCCTCTTTCGCTTTTTGATTTATTTATGCTCTTTTATCCTCCCAAATTTTACTTTACCACCTTCCCCTTTACATGGTATCAGGCACAGGAATTTATGGAAAAAAATAAAAAATATTTAAAATCCAGAGATAGTGATGGCATAACTAGATGTTGCTACAATAGATTAACTATTTAGATATATTATATCCCAAATTATTTGGTACAGGGTTTACATTTTCTTTTTCTCATGTTAAGTTTTATTCATTTTTTTTTACCTGTATGCAGCATTTTTTAGAGGTATCTGAATTGGACACAATGTCAAGACCTGCTAGTCAAAATATAGACCCAGCTAAGGCGAGGTGTCATCTCTGAAAGTTATTTACTGTTGCTGGAAAATCATGGGATGCTGGAAGTGCAAAGACAAATGTCAGGTTGTAAATAGGACAGTGGCGCAGCATTAATGACTAGAACCCAGTGTTAAAAACCCTGCCAGACCCTTTCCTAACCCAATGGTTGCTTGCACGTGGACTTGTCCAGACACATCCTGACTTGAAAAAAAGCTTCTTTCAGCTGGCAATCGGAGTGACCATTACTCCTTCAGAGAAACGTTTTGTGATGTACTCTAGTTCATGTAAACATGGTTATTTGATTCGAAGCAGCAGATGGGAAAGTCCACCGCTGGTGTCTGAATAAAATAAGATGTGAGTGGCATTTTGCCTCCTGTGTACAGTCTATAAGGATTAGGATTTTTTTTTTTTAATTAGATTCAGTTCTGGAAGAACAGTTGATTGATTAAATGAAACCTCCAGATTGATCAACACCCAGGTGTTTGCCTTATCATCCTTTGTGGCCTGCAACCTCTGGTGATTGTAACTTGCTTTTATTTTAGCAAATCTCCCTTGGAAGAGTGGTAGGCACGAGAGTCCATTTACATGGCTATTGACTCATTTGTACCAAAAGAAAAAGGCCTGTGTCCTTGTGGTGATCCTGGCAGATGACAATGCTAGAAACACCCTGACCTCAGCCAAGAGTCTCGGATGCCAGCTCTGCTTCTGTGGTCCCGTCACCCTGAGAGTGACTCACCTGTTAAAGGGGACTAGCAGTCCCATTCTACCTCTCTTGGGTGACAACCGAACTAATGAAATGGTGTATGTGGAAACCATTGGTTTTCTGTGAGGGGAGCCTGTATAGAAGACTTAACACCCGGCTATCACTCAAGAGATCCAGTGTCCACTCTGCTGCTCCCCTACATGAGGTTGGGCCAGGAATGTACATTACTGTGTTTCCGTTTCCTCATGATTGAAATGACAGAGGACATAGTAACTTGATTTCCAACTCGAAGTAACACTTGACTCTGGTCTGGTTTATAATAGTTAATGTTGTGTTGGGCCAAAGAAGTTCCAGGAAAATCAGCCCAGGCTTAAGGAAAATGCAGAAAACCTAAATGATATGCAGTCCCGAGTTCTTACTCAGGAGGGTGACAATGGCCTCTTCCACAGCCACGTGACTCAGGTTGGTTCAATGGAACATCTTTGGAGGAACGTGGCATCAATTAGAATGTTCCTGAGCAGAGTGTTTGGCTTTCGAGTGACATATTTTTAGATGTCTTGGTTACACTGGCAAGAATCTTTTTGTTAAGATTCTTGATGAAAAGTGCATTTTTAAGATCCAAAATTGGCTCTGAGGATTAGGGACCGAAATAGCTTTCTCTTCATTTAAAGCAGATCCTGCTCCGTCTTGAAACAACACAGTTGCCATCCAGAGAGTGAAGCAATATTTCACTTTTGAGGAAGGAGTTCTAGTAAACACAAACACAAATTACCTTCGGAGGGGATGGCAAGTGGCAAAAAGCACTGACTTCGAGACACAACAAAACAAAAACAAAATCCCAGATGTTTTCTTTGCCAGCTGTGAAGTTTAACATTCACTGCAGCACAAATACTTATTCAGTGGCTACTGTGATCCCATCACGTGTTTGGCTAAGGAGCAGAGCAGTGAACAAGGTCAACTTGTCCCCTCCCTCATGAAACTTAATATATAGGTGTTCACTACTGATAACCCTGCAGCCTGCTACCATATCTATACTCACTGTGAGTCTTATTTTCTCCCTAGAACTTTCTCTGAGCATCCAGTGAGTACCTCATGGTCTGCGTCTCCCATGGGTTTCTTTGTGACTTGTTGACTCCTACAGCATTCATTTATTGTTGGATAGCTCATGTTGCTTTATATTTACATGTTTATTCTATCCTAATTCATATTTATAAAACACACAAAGACAAGGTTATTCTCTCTCTCCCTGTGGTTTTGACAATATAATGGTTGGTTGATGTTTGACTCCTGGTGAATGCCACAAATATTGGGTGAAGTATTTGTTTTTGAGGCAATGATTTGTTATTATTCATTGGATATTAGACCATATATGTGGATATAACCAAACATAGAATCATAGTTCTAAATGTCAAGGCATTTTTCTGTTTCAATCAACAAATGTAGAAAGAATCACAATGTAGGATCATTGGTGCTTTGAAAGATGGAATATTGAGAATATGGAATACTGAGGTATTACTCAGAAATTAGGTAAGCGAAGACAGGAGTTACAGGTCACTGAATAGATGTTCCGTGCATAAAGGTGGCATATAAGAGAATAAGACCCAGGAAAAATATGGGTTTTCATGTAACTTAAAATGGCTGAAGTTGGGAGTAGCTGTGAGGAGGTGATAATGTTGGTATTGAAATCAAAGGTGGTGATCAGATTATGAATACCTTTTCTGTGGCTTGCTGAGGAATTTAATTTTTATTCCCAAGACTGTAGGGACCCAGGAAAGGATGCCCATAGGAGAATCACAGGAACAGATTTACATTCAGGGTGGACTGAAGTGGAACAAGATCTAAGGCTGGTAGATGAGATGGAAACCCAATGCAAAAAATCCAGGAAGGATTGATGAATAAACAGGGATGCAAAGGAGATATAAAATCATGGCATTTACAAGGTAGAAGTAACAGGACTTGGTGAATCCCAGGTTTCCCCTGATGCCATTTATTGAACAGGAAGAGCAACCCAATTGAGAAGGTAGGGGTGGACAGTCTGGGAAATGTTGATTTTTCTACACACATGGAATCTCTGAGTAGAGACAGACAGTAGGTGATTGGAAAAAACAGGTCAAGAGCTAAGTAAGAAGCCATGATTAGAGAGATGAACTTGGACATGTCAGTATGTAAGTGGCACCACTATTAGCTGTGTGATTGGATGCAATTAAAAAGGGAACATGAGAGACAACTGAAAATGGAGTTCTGGTGACCACTGTAGTTCATGTGGTGGAACCTGAAAAAGCC